GGTCGAGTCCGACGAAACGAGTTCTACTTCAGCAGTACCACATCAACACCTCGTGTCTTCACCTCTGCTGCAGTAATCCCTTTTCTTTGTCTTGCAGGCTGTGAACACAAAAACACTGAAAACACAGAGAACTGGTCTAAAAACGTCTAATTAATGAAACATGAGTGAAGGAACCAGACGAACTCAGCTGATGTTAATGAATCACAGCCCAGGAGGCGGTGGAGCTGGTTTTGTAAATGTTTTATTGCAGAATGAGCAGATCTTAATGGAAAAAGGCACAAATGAAAACTATTCACATACAAAGATTCTTCCTGATTGGCCTCTACAGCAGTTTGGGTTCAACTACACAAACCTGGTCTGCAGCTTTAAGCGTTGTTCTGCTACAGTCCGGATGATTTAAGTGCATCAGAGGAAACAGAGTCGTACAATCGAAGCCACAGCGAGTCCAAACCTTTAATCTCTGAACAAACAGTCGTGCTTTTATTAGTGTGTCGCTCACTGACGGACTGGATTCCAATAAGAGCTTAAATAATGGAAGAGAGTTCATGACCTGCACGAACTGAAACACCTGAACAGTCGGATCCTGCAACCAGCCAACCGTCACATGACGTCTGTTCAGGAGAAGCTTGGGGTTTGTCAGATACCAGAAGCTCCTGTGATCAGTCGCTGCTGTTTGAGACGTCACAGCCAAGACCTTCCAGGAAAGTCGAGTTTTCTGCCACAACCAAAGAATTTACAGTTTCGGCAACGAGCTTCGTGTCGTTGGTCAGTAAAAGCTCCACGAACAGAACCTGAGGAGCTTCAGTTTACACGTTTTAGCTTCTGGAGGCTGGACGGACGTCACGCCGACAGAAAGTCACTTCAAAGAGAAATCAGGTTTTCATCGTCCACCTTCTCTCACAGCTGTTCAGAGGTTCGTTTGGTTTCGTTTTCTTTCAGCTCAACAAAGTCTGACGACAGTTTCAGGTTTTGTTGAGCCGGTTAACACAAAGTCTGACTTTGTTAAACTTTGTTCCAGCAGGAATCTAAACTATTTACTTGTGTGTCCTTCTAAAATGTGGATATTTGATCTGATGAACTAGTTTGGAATCAAAACAGGCGATAAGTGAAGCTTCTGAACCTGCAGCAGCTTCAGCTCCAACACCTGCAGTCACGTGACCGTCCGCTGACCAATGAGACGAGGCCGCCCGTCGCCGTGGAAACATTCATCCGGTTTACATTCAGGGTTTTTTTTACAGACTAAAACTGATTCTGGGTCATTTCACGGGTTCCATTTAAACATTTACACTTTAATTATCTCTGATGTGCAAAAACGCTGATCAACGACTAATAATCAATAAATCTGGTTCCGTCTAAATCACATCATAAATAAAGTTCTTCAGCTGATCGGTTCTACCATCGATTAGTTAAAAGTCTCAGAGTTACATACATCACATGAACTGTTCTCTACTCCCTACGACATGCTGGAGCTGCTTCCTGTTGGATCCACCTGAAGCTCAGCGTCTCGGCTCATCGGCGTCAGTCACAGAACCAGAACCAACAGAACCAACAGAACCACGGAGCTTTGATCTGTTTCCAGAATAAAGTTCCATTAAAGTTCTGCAAAATCTGCTCAAAACATTCGAGACCAACTGGGATTGTTTTAGGAATTTCACTACAACAAAAAGTTCTGCAGGTTGTTCAGTCGTCGGTTCTGTTGGACTGTTTTGGGTTTTTTGTCGTTCTAGACAAAGTTGGATTTACTTTCATTGTTTTAGGACGTTTTTTAAACAACTTTTTACAAACATGTTTGTAATTTTAATTCATTTTGGACAAATCTGATTGTTTCCTTCAACATCTGTCTGGTTCCACTGGTTCTACTGGTTCTACTGGTTCCACTGGTTCTACTGGTTCCACTGGTTCTACTGGTTCTACTGGTTCGACTGTGAAATTTTTCCCCAGAACTAAACTTTGAAGCAAGCTGTTCCAGTAAAGGTCCGTGTTGGACTTTAGTTTTGTTTAGAGCAGCTACTGATTCCAGACGTCAGCCATCGATCACCTTATTGATTAATCATGTGCATCAGTCCAACCCAGACCGTTACCCTGTCGGGACCAGACACAGTCGGGTTTAACTGATCCAGATGTGAAGGTGTCTTCAGAACCAGCAGAACTTGGGCTCTGTTCTGTGACTGAAGCTGCAGATGAAGCCCGAGGCTCAGACCTTGTCCGACTTTAATACTGAGAGGTTTTACTTTGGAAGTCGAGCTTCTGAGCAACTTCTCTTCTCTTAAAAACAAAAACGAGTTCCCAAAGAGTGAACTTCAGGCAAACATGGCAGAAGGTTGTGAACATACTGAAGGTCCGGACGGAGGTTCTACGGAGACGAGCTGAGCAGCTCCTGCCGCCGCCTCATGATCTGCAGGAACTCGGCGTGGTCGGCCGCCGCCTGGACGAGAGAACAGCAGGATGAGACAGAGACAGGAGGAGGAGGAGGAGGAGGAGGAGCTCAGCGGCCTTCATCGAAGGACTCCACGCCAGAATCCGCTGCCAGTTTCTCCTGCCGCCTCCTCATGATCTCCTGCAGCTCAGAGCCTGAACTCTTCTGCAGAACAAACAGAGACACAAAGCCAGCGTCAGAACAGCCGGATCGGGTCCGAAGTCAGAGACTGTCAGAGGCGACTTCAGGTTCTGAACACGTCTGGAAGAAGCTCCGAGGATCAAAGTTCAGCCCGAAGGATTCAGAGGGAACGAGGTGAAAGGTTTTACTGAGCAGCAGCTTGTTCTCAAGTCAGCAGATAAAGAAACTAAAACGCTGTCGAAGCTGCACGTTGTCCAACATCTGAACAAATCAATAATCAATAACAGGAGAAATGTTCTGATCAGTTCAGAGTCATCGACGACCTGATCAGGAAACGTTTAAACCAACGTCTGAATCTCCTCAGGCTGAACTCCAGAACTTTACGTTCTTCTGTCTTCAGGTTGAACCGACGCAGCGGATCAGAGAATCTACCAACCAGCGCTTAACTAGGTGATAGTTAACTAGGTGACAGTTAGTTAACTAGGTGATAGTTAACTAGGTGACAGTTAGTTAACTAGGTGATAGTTAACTAGGTGACAGTTAGTTAACTAGGTGATAGTTAGTTAACTAGGTGATAGTTTGAGGTCCAGTGTAGTCGCTGAAATCATTCATTTTATCCATAAATCCAACAATAAGTCAGAAACCGTCACAGCTACACAGACAGAACTGGGCAGCCTGTCGGTCCGTGTTGGCGCCACCGTGTGGTCGCTCACTGAACTACACCGCTGTCAGACATTTAATTGATTATGTTCTGCATTAATCGATCAGCTGTTTGTCTCTAAAGTTACCAGAGACGTTGAGACGTTTTCATTATAAAACCTTCGATCATCTTTAGTTTAATTATCAGTAATTTATTAATAGTTGTTCTGATCTTTAGGTAAAAACTGCATCAAGCGTTCAGCGATCACACTGCTGCTGGTTATCAAACGTCTTGTTCTCCACTGATGGACTTCATGGAGAACCTTCAGTCGTCTCTGACAGCTTCTCTTGGACTTCCTGGACTTCTGCTGCGTCTGAAGCAACATGTTTAATCTCTACACAGCGTCTGAGCGGCGCGTCGCTGGAAACCAGAAGATTTTATCAGAGAGAAAATCTTCCGTCAGCGGCTTTATGGCGTTTATGTAGAGATGGAGTCCATGAAGCTCTGCAGGAGCCTGAACCGCCCTCAGGAGGCCTCCAGAGGAGCTGCTGCTGCTGCTGTAGGTGGATGAAGACGAGCTGCTGGAGGCAGGATGCATGCTGGGAAACTACCGGACTCGTACTGAGCACAAACATCAGTGGCCCGGATTCAGAACCAAAAGTACTGAAGCAACAGATTTATTCATAAAAACTGCTTTGAAAATACATAAATAGTCATTGAATTAGACATTTTATGAATTGTTCAGTGTTATTTTAGTTTTATCGTCGCTGTTTCGCTGCTTTCTGAGTCTGAACTCTGATGTTTGTGCTGCTGCAGGTAAAAAGGCTTCAAGCTTTTCAGGTAAAAACTGTTTAAAACTGATCAACGACACAAACTCTTCATTTATACTCACCAGCTTTAATAAACCAGATTTATATTTATTTATCTGAACAGTCGGCGTCCATTTCAACCGCTGATTCGGATCCTGACGTGAATTTAAGATTAACAAATCAGACGTCTGTGATTTAAGGTGGACTGAGAGCCTCTTCCTGATTCATCACTTCATAGAAAAGTGAATAAAACAGGAAGAAGGACTTCCTGTTGAGATGCTTGTTTTTAACTTCCTGTTTATGGGTTGAAGAATGAAATGGACTCAAACTGCTGAGTGACTTTAGGGAACGATGGAGGAACTGTAAAGGAACCAAACAGTGAACGTAGCGTCACATACGATTAGCTGACCGCTAACCGAAGCTAAGCTAACTCACAAGAACAAGATCTCACTCCATCAGGAAAACATCTACATCCTGGTCTCTACGAGAGGAGGCGGGGCCACAGGTGGACAGCAGGTAACGTTCTGGTTGGTTGAGGGAGTTTAAGGAGGAGCCACAGCAGGAGGACACGTACTGGCGCTACCTTAAAAGCTGCTACACATGAAACAACCGGAGCCTCGTTCTGACGGCCAGATTCAGGGTCAACAAACGAACTGACGAGTCAGGACCAACAAGTCCCAGTCGACTCGTGAGAGTTCATGTCCAGACCAGTAAATCTTGGGTCAGGAGGTTTCTTGGTCCCAAAGTCAAATCAAATAAGTCCTTAAATCAAGACAGGTACATCCTGAGTAAAGGAGACTTGTGCATCTCCAAGTCAATTCCCAAACAAGACCAAAAAGTCCAAAGTCTTTGTCAAGACACGGTCGTCAAACACCATAAGGATTCTGAATTTAAGTCCCACATCAAGGCCAACAAGTCCCAAGTCCACAGTATTTATAGATCGCAAAGTCTGGAGGAATCCTGTCGGTCCAGAGACCAGAAAGAACGAGTCCCAACTCAGAGTACCTATTGATTCCAAAATCAGGGCTACGCACTGACCCCACCCCAAGAAAAACCAGTCATGAGTCAAAACACACAAGTCCAAAGTCACGAAGCTTCCAAGACTGATTTTCAAAATCAAGGATAAATTAAGGATAAGATATAAGTTTCAAGTCAAGGGTACCAAATGATTCCCAAGTCAAGACCAGAGTTCCCAGTCAAGACTGGCAGAACCTTTTGGTCTCAAAATTTGGACTTTTGGACCTACATGAAGACCAGACACAATAAAATTCCAAGTTAAGGAGGTGTCTTTAGTGTCACCGGTCAAAGGGGGGCTTGTTGGTCCTGAAGTAAATATTCCAAATCAAGAAGCTCTTTTTGATTTCAAGGTCAAATAAGGACCAAAAAATTCCAAAATCAGGACACGTAAGTCAAAGGAACTTGTTGGAACCAAGTGAAGTCCTGCATCAGGTCAAAGTCGAGTAACGTGATTGGCTGAGGTCAGATTTCTGTGTGAAGAGGTGATTGGTTGCATCCATTTTTATTTAACTGCATTTTTTGGCTTCAGGAGAACATCAAGTCATTTCGGTCAAAGGCCTCAAGTCCAAGTCAGGTCACCTGAGAACATAAGAACTGGTGAGTCCTCCATCGGATGGAGTGGCTTTAGGAGGTTCTGGCCGACAGAACGAAGCTGCGAACATGTTAACGTGAACACGATACCTGAATGAATGTGGTTACTGAGTCAGAAGATCAAAGGAGGGTCAGAAGAAAACCTGCAGGTGGGAAATAGAACCACACACCAGACCTTGCCAGAGTTGGAGGACAGAAAGCTTAAAGAAAGAAACCATCGTCCAGAGACCTGAAGCTTCCAACCACAAACACACTGCAGCAGACAGGGACGAGGTCAGAGGACAGAACCCATCCCTAAACCAAAGAAAAACGATAAACCCTGGAACATCTCTGAACCCTAGAATATCTGCAGCACATGGAGCTTCAGGAGGACAGCATCTCCACCTCATGGTTCGTGTCCTCAGAGTTGTTTTTAGGGTCTCGATGCTTCCCAACATTAGACGCTTGATGGACGTACGACTGTCACGACACCTTACTGAGATGAGCTCTTCAACAGGAAGTAAACACAGGCTCCGCCCTCTTACAGCCGCACAAACGCTGGCTGCACCTGATTGGACAAATGCTTTAGAAGCAGGAAGTGCTGCTAGCTGTCAAATCAGACCAACATGGCTGCTTGTTTGGAAACTTTTGGTCGAGGCAGTCTACCAAAACGTGTTTCTTCATCTCAGTTTGGCGGTGGTTCGTTCAAAAGGTTCTCCAGGAGTGTTGGGCGGCGTCACGGGCCGGCTCTGGTTTACATGAAGCAGCCGAGACCTCAACTTTACGTAAACAAAGAGCGGCAACGCGTCACTTAAAGCGTATCGCAACCAGAATGCTTAAGGTGTAAGCAGACCACGATGGATCCTGAGGACACGAACCTTCAGAGAAACACCTGAACTCTATCTGAGACTCGGTTTGAAGCATCTGGACGTCTACAGTCCGTCCACATGTAAACCAGAGTGTCTTCCAACCTGATGGAACTCTTTCATTAGTGTTTAATGTCGCGTCGTGGTTCCTCTGAACTCGTCTCCATCGGCTGCACGTGTTTGTCTGAAGAACCAATCAGAAGGCTGGAAGCTCGGCCTCGGCTAACGAACAACTTTATGATCCAACGAAACCCAGAAACCCTCCATCATCAGTACCAACAGGATGAACGGTCCTGCAGACGGTTTGTTTAACAGCTGAACTGGTGTCATCGGTGTTTGTGTAACTGAACCAACACTGAGCTGCTCAGAAGCTGCAGGAAGCAGCAAGAAGAACTTCAGTAAAGAAACAGAGTTCCAGTTCATTCACAAAACACTAGAACTGGACTTCTAGAACTTCATCATCTGGATGGATTCAGTCTCTAAACATTACAACAGAGACGATTGAAGCATAAACACGTTTTCCCTTTAGTTTAATGTCAGCGCTTCATTATTCACATATGACAGCTTCAGTCCAGCAGAACCCACAAACATGAAGGTTCTGCATGTTTGTGGGTTCTGCTGGACAGCTTCAGTCCAGCAGAACCCACAAACATGAAGGTTCTGCAGCAGCTTCATGCCTCGACTTTATTCTGAAGCTTTACTGTTTTCACTAAATACTCAAACTGATAAAACGTTCTGACCCGATCTATAGAACAGGTCTTGTAACTGTTGATATTAAAACTAAATTCAGAACAATGTTCTGAGGATTTGTTCTCTAACGGTTTGGACCTGTGTTCTGGTATGTCTGTGCTGGTTCTGTTTGGGTTTTTACTCGTTTGCTGCTGCAGTTTCTGATGTTTCTGCGTCTCTAAACCCCAGAACCGACTCATTCTGTCGGATCGGACGGTTCTGGCCGTCGGTCGGGTTTACCTCCAGCGCCGCCTTCTGCACGGTGACCTGGCTGAAGACTCGAGCGCCGTCGTCCGGACACACCGTCTTCAGCTCCTCCTTGTTGAGAGAAAACAGCTGAGCTCCGGTCAGCACGCCCAGACTGGTGATGGTTCTGGAACAGACGGACGGAGAACCAGTGAG